CCCTGCCAGCCCTCGGTCGCCATGAGACCTCTTTCCTTCCCGCCCCCAACTGGCCTCCATTTTCCCATCTGGCAAGATGAGCTCTGGGCCCTCCGACCCCTCCCTTCTCGGCCTCTGAGCCGCTTCTGACACGTGTGTTTTGACTTTCCAGAAATTTCGATGCTCTCAGGAAGGAAAACATATTCGAGAACAACCAGCTGGTGAGTTTGTCCCTTCCCAGCCCCGTCCCCCAGCCCACGTCCCAGGGGCTGCTCACCAGGCACCTGAGTGGGCACGATCTCCCCGGGGGCGGCCGCGGCATCACTGCCGTCTGCAGGTGGGCACGTGGAGGCCGGGCACTTGCCACTGGGCTCCACACCCTGTCCCAAGCCGTGTGACCCCAGGTCCCCAGAACAGCCCAAGGGTCTTGTAGCGAGGCCTGCCTGGTCCCCGCGTTTTCTTGGCGGGCAGGGGATGGGGTGGGGAGGACCGGACCCTCCTTCCTGCCCAAGGCTGATCAGGGTTCAGGGGAGCTCTGGGACAGCAGGGCCCGTGGGTGGGTCCTGGGTTGGACCTGTGCTCAGGCTGGCTTGGGTTCCAGTCCTGTCCCCTGGCTGTCCCGTGGCAGGACCGCTCCCTGTGCCCGCCTCAGTTTCCCTGCTGCAAAATGACTCCATGATTCTGTTAGCAGATGGAGGGGCTCCTAAGTTAGGATGCCCACCAAGTGTGGGTCCTCGCCGTGGCTGTGGAAGAATTCGCACAGCAGAGGCAGAGGGACAAGGTGAACAGCCGCTCTGCGGCTCAGAAGGGGAAGAGGAAGGAAGGTGCCCGAGGGAGGAAGAGCCGCCCCAGGGGGCAGCCGCCAGCCGGGATGGGCAGCAGGGAGGGCTCCGCCCGGGCCGGGCCACCTGGGCTTCGGTGGGAGGCTTCTGCCATCGTGTCCTCCTTCCGGTGTGAGGGAGCCAGTCAGTCCTTGTTCGAGTTTGTCGGTCCCTGTACGGGCTTTTCTGGTGGTTGTCATGGCAGTTGTCAACTGGCACGGCGCTGGGGGGTGTCACTTAGATGATACCTTACAGTGAGCTGTGATGAGGCTCTGGGTCCCTGGAAGTCAGACCCTCCGCCGGCTCGACGTGGCGGGTTCTAGCTAGTTTTTGTTTGTTCTCTGCAGCTGCCTCCTGGGCTTGAGAAGAGTAACTGGTTTCTAGTCGAGGGAGGGGCAGGGGTATGACCCTGGGGGCAACAGCCTTGGTAACAAAAAGCCAGAGTTGCTTTTAACCAGAATGCCTGCAATCTGGTGGACCCAGCGTCTCCCCAAAAACCATCTTCAAAGATTCTGTTCAGCCATGAAAGTCTTAGAGGGAAATTCATCGTTGAGACAGGCGGCCAGAGTCCTCACCCTCTCCCAGGCCTACAGCTTGTCCTCCTCCACTGCTGGACCTGCTCTCCTGTGACTCAGGGAGCCTGGGGGACGGCAGCTCTGCTAGAAACAAGAGGCAGGGGTTGGGGAGCCCCCAGGGTCCAGCTCCCTTTCAATCCCATGGGGCTGAGGCACAGAAAGGCAGACTCCACCCCGGGCCGGCTGATATTCACCACACTCCTGCCGTGTGCTGGGTGCGGTTCCGGACAGGGTACATTGCGAGCGGGACGCACGCCTGGCCCGCAGGAGCTGACACTTCGCAGGGCTGGGTCACATCTGCGTGTCCGGGGCCGCCCCACTCGGCGCGGGCGATTTGAATTCAGCATATCAGAGATGAAATAAAATGAACACGTTCGTTTCCTCAGCCGCACCAGCCACATTTCCAGCACTCAACTAGCCAGCTGCACATGGACAGCTCACAGGAGGACAGCGTCCCCAAGACAGAGTTGTCCCACCACGCTGACCACGTAGCAGCATGTGGATGGGAACGGGGGTGGGGGTGTTGGGCGTGGTGAGCAGTTTTCATGAGGGGACGGGGGAGGTAAAGTCTCAGGGTGAGGGGGCTGCAGGGCACAGAGCTTGTAGGAGAAACAGCACCAGGGGACATAGCGGAACACAGCAGGGTGAGGCTGGCACAGGGGGAGGGGAGGCTGGCACAGAGGGAGGGGAGGCTGGAGCGGGGTGTGAGGAGAGGCCAGGCTGTGGGAAGGACTTGGCTTCATCTCTGAAGGGTGCTCTGCTGGGAGCTGCTGCCGGTTCCACGGGGTCCGTGCAGGAAGCAGGGTGTGTGGGCGCAGTGGAAGGAGTCAGGCTGCGGATGCGTTGTGAAGGAGACGAAGGTGATGCGAGGCTTTGTTCTAGGCATAGAGGAGCGCTTGCTGCCGGGAGGACTGCGGGCCTGGGGCCCAGGAGCCTCATCTGGAACACACGACAGTGGAGGTGTTCTTGTCGCTCCTCCATGTCGGGGTCGTGGTAGTCTAGGGGGCAGCTCGAGATGGAGATTTGGGCAAAGTCAGGGGAGGGATGGAGTTTAAAGGCCTGGCTGGGCCAGCCAGGGTTGGTGCGGGGAGAGGAGGGTGGAGCCCCACGCCCACGCGCAGAGCAGTGGGGGCAGAACCAGAGGCCGCCGTCCTGGGCAGGGAGCACACATGTCAGGGCCCGGGGGGCCCAGCCCAGCCTGTGTCGCTGTCTCAGCCCCCAAGTCCACTCCCCTTCCCCCGGGCTTCGGCTCCTAGGACATAGGTGTCCCCTGTTGGCTGGAGAAAGCTGCCCCCGACCATGCGTATAAGGTTGGTGTCAAGCAGGGATGTGCAGATTCAAGAGTGTAGGGGTGGTTGAAGGGGTCTCAGCAGTGACGTGGGGCTGAAGTCTCTGGGACGAGTAGCCTGAGATGGGCTGGGGCCCCTCTGGCCCTGGGCACAGCCTCAGCTGCTGCACCGGGACTGGCTCCCCGCCTCCTTCAGTCCTGTGGTCGGGTGTGATCCCCACTGGACAGACAGGAAAGCTGAGGCCAGGAGGCCAAGCGGAGCATGAACCTCAAGTGGGTCTCTTGAGGGCTCCTTCTGGGCTCCAAGTGTGTCTCTTGCTTTGGGCCCCTCCCGCCGTCCCTCCGGAAGGAGCTGGTGGCCTGGCCCAGGAGGATGGGGGAAGAGGTCTCCTGGCCCACCCCTGCTGACCACTGCCCTCCGCAGGCCTTCCGTGTGGCTGAGGAGCAGCTGGGTATCCCGGCCCTGCTGGACGCCGAGGACATGGTGGCCCTGAAGGTGCCCGACCGTCTGAGCATCCTGACCTATGTGTCGCAGTACTACAACTACTTCCACGGCCGCTCCCCCAGTGAGTCGGGGCCACCTCAGGGCCAGCGCCTGGCCACGCCGCACGTCTGCCCGCCTGTGTGCACACGCCCCTCCCTCTCGGGTCCATTCTCAGCCCCCCGGCCCCCCGGCTCTGCGTGTGGCGCGTGGGGTGGGCCTCAGGCCTCAGTGGGGCACGTGTGTGTGTGGCGCCCGGTGCTGCCATCTTCTCCAAGGGGGACAGGGTCCCCCGTCCTGCTACAGTGACAGGCGGGGTCCCGGCCCCAGGTCCTCCCACGGCCCCCGCTGGAGCAGGCTCCAGCGTCCCCACTCCCGGTCCGCTGGACAGATGCACCCAGCTCCCCCTTCCCCTCCCTGTGCCCCAGGGGTCTGTGCCCACGTCTGTCCCCTCGGGCGGCCTGGCTCCAGATGCCCTGGTTTGGTGCCGATGGTCAGCTGCCCTGGCAGGGTGCGGCCCCAGGCTGGCTGGGCAGGGGAGGGGTGGCCCAGGGACTGTGTTCCAGCTGCTCTGTGCGCCCAGCGGCTCGTCCCGCCCCTCCCCCGCAGGCCTCGCCCAGGCTCAGAAACCCCCGGAACCGCTCTGGGCGCCTGGCCAGGCTGCCTTGGGGCCCCACTGTGCAGAGAAACAGAAAGTCCCTTTTCCCTGATCTGGGATCAGGGCCCTCAGGTTGGGGAGGAGCATGGGGCAGGCCAGGCCCCTGCTGGGAATGGGCGCTTGCGGGAGGGGGGCACCCATCCCCGCCCCCAGCTCCAGCTCCAGGCCCTGTGCTGGGTGGCCGCACGCCAGGAACCCCAGACCGGGAAAGCCCCTGTCAGAGGCGCTGTGCGGGGCTGGGCCCCTGACCCTGCTGTGTCTCGTGCTAGTTGGAGGTGTGGCCGGAGTGAAGAGGCGCCCGTCAGACTCCAGGGAGGACCCATCTGGGAAGAAGGCCTGGTCCCCGCCGGCCAGGCCCACGCCCACCCCGGCCCGGGGGCAGCCGCTGTCTCCAGTCAGCACAAACCCCACTGTCCCGCAGAAGGACGGGGGCACAGAGGGACCCCCGCTAAAGGCTGTGAGCACCCCGCCCATCTCTCTGGTTCTTGGGTTTTCCGCTGGCTTCCACTGAGTGTCCCCTAAACCACAGTGCCCAGGGTGGGACAGGGTCCCCCTGAGTTCCGGGCATGGCCGCAGCTGTCCCCTGAACTGGCTCCCCGAGCTCCTTCAATCCTGCAGGCATACAGACGGCTAAACTGAGGCCAGGGAGGCCACACTGGCCGAGCCCAGACCTTTCTGGGTTCCAAGCAAGTCTCTTGCCTCTGGCCCCTCCCTCCCAGGTGGGGCCAAGGGACAGCGTGTGCATGTCCTTTACCCCCCGGCCAGCTGTGCACAGGGAGGGAGGGTTGCCCCACTTTTCAGAGGTGGAGGCTGAGGATGGGGTGATGATGTCCCCCAGGCCTTCCAGGGGTGCTGGGAATTTGGTTGGATTTCTGTACCTTTGGACAGGAACGGGAGATGCCACAATGTGTCTCCTGGCCCCCCGAGACCCTCAGGTCAGCCCCCAGTTCCCTCCCTTTGGGCCAGGCTAGAGACCCTGAACTCGGAGTCCAGCCCTCCTGGGCGTAAGCCTCCTCTGGGAGCCTCTGGCCTCCGGTCTGTAAGGTGGGCTCTTCCCGCCCGCTGACGGCTGCTGTCAGGAGGGAAGCCGGGGCGGACGTGACGCAGCGCAGCTCAGACACGTCACCGGCACCCCCTCCCAAGGGCCAGGCCTCAGCGGTCAGCTCCGTGAACAGCGCCTGCGGGGTCTGCGGCCGGCACGTGCACCTGGTGCAGCGGCACCTGGCAGACGGGCGGCTCTACCACCGGGGCTGCTTCAGGTGGGTCCCGTGTGCGAATGTGTGCGTGCGCACGTGTGCCTGCTGACCGGTACGAGCACTTCCCGGGTGTCCGCACCCCTAACGAGGGCCATGGGGGAAGCTGCGACTGAAGGATTAACAACTGGGAGAGGAAGTGTTTGTTGAGTGAATCACCAACCACCTGAGGGGCTGCAGGATCCAGGGTGTGTGCTCTGGGGAAGCCAGAATGAGCTAGCACGCGGCTGGAGCGCCTCTGGTCTCCCTGCCCGCCCCCAGGTGTAAGCAGTGCTCCAACACGCTGCACTCAGGGGCCTACAGGGCCACGGGGGAGCCCGGCGTCTTCATCTGCACCAGCCACCACCCTGAAGCCGCCTCTGCCAGCCCTGCATTGCCGGGACTGTCCCCTGGGCAGCCCAGGGCCGTCCCCACGGACTCCAAGCCCCCTGGCACCCCAAGGAAGACCCAGGAGGCGAGCAGGCAGAGAGATGCAGGGCCAAAGGCCAGGCCGGCTGCGTGGGAGCCCAAGGTGGGCAACTCCACTGCCAAAGGGTTCCTTCCGGCTGCAGCTGACCCTCTGGCCACCTCTCCCCCAAGCCCACACAGGGAGCCCAGCTGGGCCCAGCTTCTCGGCGGCCCCTGTGGGTGGCAAAGCCAGCACTCCTGTGACCAAGAGTTCCCTGACAGGGTGGTCGTCACTGGCAGGCAGCCCCCGTCCTGCCACAACCCCGAGTGTCCTGGACCCTCGCCCGGCCACACCTCCAGGCCGGGTAGCCCCTCAAGTGGCAGCCCCCCAGACCAAGGTCGGTTCAAGACCAGCGTCTCCAGTCCCTGCGAATGCCCCGGCCTGGACCCCGTCGTCCTCCAGGACGCAGCAGGCCCGGGAGAGGTTCTTCCAGAAGCCTGGAGCCGCCCCCGGCCCTGGCCCGGCCGGCAGGGTCCCAGCTGCAGCAAATACACCTTCCAGGGACGGCAGCAGGGAGCAGGCACTGAGCATCCTCCGGAAAGCCCTTCCAGAGTGCAGGGAGGCTGGCACTCACGCACCTGGCAGGTGGGTGGAAGAGGTGGGACTTGGGTGCGGCCCCCACCCGCCCAGCAGCTTCCAGGGCCCCAGGAGGCCAGAGGGGTTGGGGTGGCTGGGGAGGGGTTCTGGCCTCTGCCCCTGCCTGGCTGTGTGACGGCTGGGCTGCACGCTCCCTGCCTCAGTTTCCTTGTCTGGGAAATACGGAGAATGAGCCTGGGGGTCTGGAGTGCCCAGGGGCCAGCGGGAGGGGACGAGGCTGTCACTGTATCACTGACGCTGTTGCCCAGGGGCGCCGTGTGTCACACGCTGAGTCCTGCACGTGGACACCCTCCTCCCAGATGGGGAAACGGAGGCTGTGAATGGAGGAGTGTTGGCTTGTCTGACTCGAACGGGGTCTGAGCCTTCCCTGCCCACTGATGTGCCTTCTGCCCGCTGGACAGGGAGCGGACAGTGTGCCAGGATGGAGGAGGGTCACCGTGTTAGTGTCCCGGGGCTGCTGGACAAGTACCGCGGGCCAGGTGGCTAAAACGAGACCTCTGTCCCTTTGCAGTTGTGGAGGCCAGAAGGCTGAGCTCCGGGTGTGGGCAGGGCCGTCCCCTCGAAGGCGCTCAGGGGGCTGCCTCCTGCCTCCTCCAGCTCCTGGGGCTCCTGTGTCCTTGGCTCCATCTCTGCTCTGTCTTCACGGCCTCCGCCCTGTGTCTGTCCTCTACTTTTCTCTCTTACAAGGACTCTTGTCACTGGACTGAGGGCCTCCCTCATCCAGGACCACCTCATCCTAACTTGATTATACCTGCAAAGAGCCTGCTTCCAAATGTCCCGCTCTGAGCTTCTGGGTGGGTGTGGATTTGGGGGGGACACCATTCACTCCCCAACAGCTGCCCAGCCAGCAGGGAGGTTCCACACCAGTCTGGCCACCAAGGCTGCACCCACTTGCTTGGGGGTGTCCCCAGCTGACAGCTGCCTGACCCCTGCCCCATCACCCGGGGCTCCCAGGGTGGGCTCAGGGCTGGGGAGAGCCGACCCACCTGGCCACTCCAGCACTAGGGGGTGTCCAAGGTTCTTGGGGGCGAGACCGTATGAGGACTCTCAGGGGAGCACTCCCTGAGGACGCGTCTGGCGGGGTGGGGCCAGCTCCTCTGGGGAGCCAGCCTGGAGTAGGGGACGAGGCGAGGGGGTGGAGAACTTGGCTACAGGAGGGGGCGGGGGCACACAGAGGACCTGGCCTGGTTTGGGGCGGTGCCCTGGGCCCCGCTGGGCCCGCGCCTGAGGGGGTGTAGGCTGGCCCGTGTGCCGGCCTTGCGCGTGTCTCAGGGTGGAGTGCAATCTCCACTGTGAAGTCCCCGCTGCTTCCAGGTGGGTGGGCGCAGGAGGGGGTGACTAGGGCTGTGGCCCGCACCCGCACACCCCACGCCTGGTGGGTTTTGGGGGCGTTTTAATGTCAGCTGACCCTGGAGTTAAACAGGAGGGTAAGAGCAGGTGCTGGTGTGCCCGTGTGAGCAGAGGGGTGATCTCCCTCCCTCAGGAGGGTGGGCATTGGGAACCAGCTGCTGGGGGGCACTGATGGGCTTCTACCCGGGGGTCAAGGTGAAAGGGGGCTCCTGGATCCACCCACTCCTGATGCTTGCTTTCTCCTGCACAGGCCCTCCCTGGCCACCTCTCCTGCTCCGAACTCCCTCCCCAGAACTGAAGGGCAAGGAGTGAGTCCAGCCGCCAAGCTGGCACAGTCAGTATGCCCCCAGGCCCTCAGCCCCGCTGCGAGGACTGAGCCACCAGCCCCACTGGGTGTCAGTAGCCCCTCCCGGGCATCCCCGCCACCCCAGGTGGGCAAGAAGAGCCTGGCTGTGTCCTCAGGGGCTGTCAGGGCAGGTGCTGGCTCCAGGCCGAAGCCGGAGGCCCCGCCGGCTAAAGGTAAGAGCCCCTAAAATGGTAGCAGTGGTGGGGGGCAGTGCCAGGGGCTGCTGCTCTGTGATGTTGCTGCACCTAGGCTCTTGCTGGGTGTCGTGGCCACTCTGCTTTTGGCCTGCAGTTCTGTGATTTGCTGTCCCACAGTCTGGCTCCCGGGGTCCCACTCTGGGAATCTGTCCTCCTGTGTCACCATCGTCCCACCCGCCAGCCCCCGCCACGCCGCTGCTCTCCGCTGACAGCACCAGGCAGGCGAGCCCTCTTTGCCCCGCTCTGCAGGTTCTCCCCACCTCCCGTGGGGTTTGCGGCCACTGTCCCTGCGGGTCTGTCACGACTGCCCTGTCCTGACGACGGTGGCCTGAGCTCCAGAGGCCCCGGTGCCTCCCTGCCCCACCCCGGAGTCCCCGGCTGCACTGGCCTCGAGCTTCCAGGACTGTTCTGCACACTTTTCTGCAGAACCACGCAGCCGGCTTTTTCTGGGCGCCGGGCTGCCTCTCAGGGGCACCCGCGACATCCCCGAGCTGGCTCAGAGACACCTCGCAAAGCATTCTTCCCACCCTCATTCCCTCAGCTGAGCCCCCACCCTGAAGGCCACTCTGCCCTGAGCCCAGGAGGCCTGCAGGTGGCCCCCGGTCAACCCGCACACACAAGACAGTCAGTGCCCCTAGGGCTCAGCCTGTCACACCCTCGCCTGTTTGGCGGCAGGGGCAGTTGAGGCCCAGAGAGGGGCAGTGAATCCCCCAGGCACACACAGCACAGGGGCTGGCTGGAGCTCCCGTCCCTGACTCAACCAGTGCTGCTTCCCGGGGGCCCGACTGGCTGTGGGGCTACGTGAGGGGGGATGGTGACAGGACCCAGGGATGGGCGAGGTGCTGCCTTCCCCAGCTTCTCCCACCTCACCCCCACCCAGGCTCGAGCACCAGCTCCCAGGGTGGCCAGGAGGACGGGCCGGCAGGATGGAGGGCCCGCCTGAAGCCTGTGGAGAAAAAGAGCCCCACTGAGAGGTGAGGGGCGGGGCGGGGGCTCCTGGGGGCGCTGGCCCTACGCCTGGGCTGTGGGTTTGGGCTCGCAGGAGCCTGCGTCCAGGGCAAGCACAGGGCCCGGCACACAGTAGGCGTTTAACAAATGCTTGCAGGTGAATAACAGTGCCCGCACTGACCCGCTGGCGCCCCCAGCAGGGATGTGTGCGTGTCTCCCGTACGTGTCAGCTGTAGAAGCAAGAGCTAGCTCATGCTGGTCTAAGCGACAGGACAGCTCACGCCGGCCTGCGAGATGCGGGGCCGTGTTTCCCCGTAACTGCACTGGGGAGGCCAGGTAGTGCAGGGAGGGTCCAGCAGGCCCCCCCGGGATCCTCCCTCTGACCCAGTCTGGAGGCCCAGGAGTGAGCACACCTGCTGGCGGGCGCCCACCCCGCCTGATCCTGGAGCCCGCTGGGACCCCCGCCTGCTGGTGGGCCTGGCGGTGGGGCAGGGGCAGCCCCCACAGAAAGCTCAGTCAGGACAAGGAGGGGGAGGGCCCCTGCAGCCTTCCGTGGACGAGGCTGCCCCGGCCAGGGTCAGGCGGGCGCTCGAGCCCACCCTGCAGGCTGGGTGTGTTGGTCTGGGGCCACCTGTGTGGGCGGCCACCCTGGGTTCCCGCCGCGGTCCGGCACATGTGGGCGGGTTGCGGGTTGCGGGGCTGCACACTCGGGGGCCTGGCGGTGGGGAGGGGTCTGTGGCCGTGTGGGCATCAGCTGTGGGCACCTGAGCCCGAGCTCACACCCACGTCGGCACGCCCCTGTGCTGCAGAGTGAGCCGCTCAGGGACATGAGCCCACGGGCGTCTAGCTCCTTCCTCCGGGCTGGCACACGTCCCTCCGGCTTGTCTGTGCCGGGGTGCAGGGAGGCCTGTCCGCCCTCCAC